AAAAAGGTTATGACATGGATGGTTATTAATTATTGGTAAATATGCCCTTTAAAAATAAGAACACTTGCCTATTTCATCATCACCATCATTGTCATGTTATCATGATAGAAACAGCTAACTTCTCCCAGGTTTGTATAAGCTGCCAGCATGCATTAGTCACTTATCCTCACAGCTATAAAATGGGTGCTATTATTATTCCTACGTAGAGATGATGGAATTGAGAATAGGGAGGTTACGTGACTTGCTCAGGGATCCATAGTCCCAGAGCAGAGGAGCCAGAACTAAACCCCAAATCTGTCTGACTCTGAAGTCTGGGCTTGCAACCACTCTGCTATATTCAAAAGCCCCTGCAGAGTGTCTGGCATCGAGTAGGTACTCAGTGAGTTTGTGTAATGTAGTGTTTGCCTCTCCCTCTTCCTCCCAGAGTTCACTTCCCCGCATCCGGCTCCTACTACTGGCCCAACACAGGCCTCCGCTTTGCGGTGAGAGGGGCAGTGACCATCGAGATTGAGTTCTGTTCCTGGAACCAGTTCCTGCATGGGACCATCCCACAGCACAGCTGGATGGTGGCAGGGCCTCTGTTTGACATCAAGGCTGAGCCGGGATCCGTGGCAGCTGTGTACCTCCCTCACTTTGTGGACCTCCAAGGTAAACAAGAGGGAAAGATGGCAGGTGGCTAATGGCCCTGAAGGGGAGTGTAGGACAATGCTGTCCTGGGAGAGGAGCTTGTGGCTTCCTCAGAGGGACGGGGAGAGGGTTATGGAAGTGGAGACTGAGATTATTCCTTATTCTGCTCTTCTCTGAACATATCTTTATTGAAACTCATGTCACCAGCCTCACAATTATTTTTGCCCAAGCTTACTTGAAAATTTCCCTAAATGGAAAATGGTTTCCTCAATGACAATAATAACTAGGATTTATTCAGTGCTCTTTATATAGATTGTATCACTCAGGGTCCCAGCAAGAAACAGATGATATGCTCCATTGAGATTTTTGAAGAGACTCTTCAAAGACAGGACTATTTACAAACTAGGGCAAGCGAACTAACATGGAATGTTGGGGAACCTGGGGACTAGCAACCATGGGAAGCCATTGCTACTCCTACAGGAGGGAGAAGAAACAGTGTCAGCAGACACTGTTTGAGAGCTGGAGCCATGAGAGAGAGGCATCCCAATAGAAGATAGTAGTCATAAAGTATCCCAACCTCTGTCACCTCCGGAGACTTCCCACAGATAAAGTTCCAAGAAATAAGCTCGCAGTCAAAAATATTACAAAGGGTAAATAAAGCACCATAAATGAGAGCCGGTGGGAACTACAGGTACCAGAGTCAGTCCCTTAAATACTTCAGACATTGGAATTATCAGAAATAGAACATAAAATAAGTGTGTATAACATGCTCAAAGAAATAATTAGTCTGAAAAATATGAGCAAGAAGCAAGAAACCATTAAACATGTTAAACCAAATTTGGAATCAAATTAAAATGACAGAAAATATTTAAAAAATTTTTAAAGAACAACAGCTAACTTAGATAAATGATACCATGAGAAGACCTAATATACACCTAACTAAATTTCCAGAAGGATCTAATAGAGAGACTGGAGAAAGATGCAATATTCATAGAGACATTATAATATTTGATAATTGTCAAGAAATTTCTAGAGTTTTTGAGAGATATGATACTTCTCAGAATGAGAACTCCAAATATCTAAAGCAGGAGAGACAGACAAGGGAGAGAAAGACATCAAGATTGGACTCATTGTGGTGAAACTACAGAACAACAAAGTGTATGGAAGGTCTTGACAACAGCCAGAAAGACAAGTCACCTAGAAAGAACTGCCATGAGGCCGATGACTGATTTTTGAAGAGCGGCGATGAGAGGTGAAAGAAAATGTAATTATGTCTTCAATGTACTCTAAAAAACTTCCAATGAAAAATTGTAAACAGAGAATTAATAATTTTATTTTTTAAGAAGAGGGTAAAATAAAACATTTTAAAACAC